ATAATGATCCAGTTTTTTTTTTTTTTAAAGATTTATTTATTTATTTGAAAGGCGGAGTTACAGAGAGGCAGAGGCAGAAAGAGAGAAGGAAGTCCTCTATCCCCTGGTTCATTCCCCAAATGGCCACAATGGCTGGAGCTGGGCCGATCTGAAGGCAGGAGCCAGGATATTCTTCTGGGTCTCCCTCATGGGTGCAGGGGCCAAGGACTTGGGCCATCTTCTACTGTTTTTCCAGGCCATAGCAGAGAGCTAGATTGGAATTGGAGCAGCCGGAACTCAAACTGGCGCCCATATGGGATGCCGGCACTGCAGGCAGCGTCTTTACCCACTACACCACAGCACCAGCCCCATGATCCAGTATTGATTCTGAGTCATGGACCTTGCATGTCTCTGTATAAGTTTATTATTTTTGGGCAGGATTTTGTAGTTTTTAGTGTCTATGTTTTATATATCTTTTGTCAGATTTCTTCTTCTTCTTCTTCTTCTTCTTTTTTTTTTTTTTTTTTTTGACAGACAGAGTGGACAGTGAGAGAGAGAGACAGAGAGAAAGGTCTTCCTTTGCCGTTGGTTCACCCTCCAATGGCTGCCGCGGCCGGCGTGCTGCAGCTGGCGCACTGCGCTGATCCGATGGCAGGAGCCAGATACTTCTCCTGGTCTCCCATGGGGTGCAGGGCCCAAGTACTTGGGCCATCCTCCACTGTACTCCCTGGCCACAGCAGAGAGCTGGCCTGGAAGAGGGGCAACCGGGACAGAATCCGGCGCCCCGACCGGGACTAGAAGCCGGTGTGCCGGCGCTGCAAGGTGGAGGATTAGCCTAGTGAGCCGCAGCGCCGGCCAGATTTATTCTTGAGTATATAGTATTTTCTTATGCTTTTGTAAATTGTTTTTAATATAAGCTTTTGTTCCTACCATCACAAATAGTTTTATATTTGATCTTTTTTGCAGCAATTTTGCTTAAGTTATTAGTTCAGTTGTTTTTTTTTTTTTTTCTGTAGATTCCTTATGATTTTCTGTGTAGACATTTTGTCTCCAAGTAAAGATGGTTTTTCTTCTTTCTTTCCTGATCTGGATGTTTAAAGTTTCTTTTTCTTACCTGATTGTGATAGTCAACACCCCCAGTGTAGTACTGAGCAGGAGTGGTGAGAATGGATGTCCTTGCCTTGTTCCTGACTGCAGGGACCTGTGGTCAGTCTCTCACTGTTATTTCTCTGAAAGCTGTAGGATTTTTTGTTGATGGCTTTTGTGAGGCTAAGGAAATTCCCTTCTTAGGTTACTGGGATTTTCATCTTTTTTCTTCCTCCTCCTTCCTGCTTTCTTCCTCCTTGTCTTCCTCCTTCTGTGTTCTTCTTCCTCCTCTTTTTTTTTTTTTTTTAAAGATTTATTTATTTAAAGGCAGAATTGGGGGTGGATGTTACAGACATATCTTCTGTCCACTTTTGTTCACTTCCCAAATGGTTGCAGCAGCCAGGGCTGGGGCAGGCTGAAGCCAGGGGCCAGGAACTCTGTCAGTCTCTCATCTGGATGGCAGGGGCCCAGGCACTTGGTCCATCTTCCTCTGTTTTCCCAGATGGATTAGCAGGGAGCTGAATTGGAAGTTCAGGCTGGGACTTGAACTGACACTCATAGGGGATGCTGTGATTGCAGGCTGCGGTTTAATCAGCTGCACCACAGCGCCAGCCCCTGAGCTTTTTTTTTTTCTTGAATCAGAAATGAATGTAACATTTTTATCAAAATTTTTTTCTGAATCTATTGAGATGAGCATGCTATTTTTAAAAAGCTGTTAATGTGTGTTGTATAAAATGTAACTACCAATAAATAGTATGTTTTTTAAAAATTACACTACTTCCTAAAATAAAATCATTTGGTAACATTCTCTCTTTCTCTCTCTCTCTCTCTCTCTGTGTGTGTGTGTGTGTGTGTGTGTGTGTTTGGATTCAGTTTACTAAAAATTTTAGAAGAACTTTTCATCTGTGCTCATGAGGGCTATTGTATTTTTCTATTATTGTAACAATCTTCGTGAGTTTTTGTGTCAGTGCAAATGCTGGCCCAACAGAATGATTTGTGAAATATTTTGTGCTCATCAGTTTTCTAGAAGATTGAGTGGAATTGTTACTGTTTAATCTTTAAAAATTTGCTAAAATTTACCAGTGAAGTTATTGAGGGTGAAATTTTGCTCATGGGAATGTGGATTCAAATTCCTTAGTAGATATGGGACTGTTTATCCATTTCTTCTTCACTGAACTTTAGTTATTTGTATCCTTCAAGCAATTGGATATTTCATCTAAACTTAAATTTACTCATATAAAGTTGTTCCTTTATTTTCACTT